AAGGAAGGAAGGAAGGAAGGAAGGAAGGAAGGACATGCCTTCTGCTCAGACAACTCCTTGCCCAGTCCTTTGCAGCTGGGAAGGACTTTCTAGCTGAGATGTGGAGAGGTTGCTGAAAGTCAGAATAGGTGGTGTTGACCAGGACAGAGAAATTATATGACCCTTATCAGGGTTTGGAAAAGTTACTTTGGGGGGGGATAATCTCAAGTCCTGGAATGCCCTTGGCACACAGATTGGTTGGGAGCCAAGACCCTCCCCCAAACCAACTTTCCAAGCTTCCTGCGCTCACTGTCCTCGGCTTGCAGACCAGGAGAATGGAGGAGGAAAGCGAAGGTCACCTTGCAGGCTTCCCGAAAACCTGGGTTGCGAGTGCGCCAGCCCGTGTGTGTGTGTGTATCATGTGCCATTTCAATCCCTCCCCGCCTCTCTCTCTCTCTCTCTCTCTCTCTCTTTCCCTGCCTGGTGGGCATGTTGTTTTGATGTGCTGTTAGCCATTTCTGAACATGAAATCATTCTTTCTGACATTTGCTAATCGCCTTCGCGCTCCCGCCTTCTCCTTTCTCCCCTCCCGACAGCGCGGCCGCGATGCACAATGCCAAATCCCCGCTTCTTTTCAATGTCGTTGTGCTCCTAATCCTTCGGCATTACAGCTCTAATGCTGCCGGATAATCACAACACCTTGTACACATCCCCTCCTCTTGCAAGAGTCTATTAGTGCTTAATCCCAGTCGTGAGCTTCTCAAGAAGTGGCACAATGGCCACCAGGAGATCTTATTTCTCTCCCAGTTACTCCCAGTCCTGCCCAGAGACTGGTACAAATCTGATGCTGTGGTCTGCCTGTTGGGGGATGGTAGCCAAGGTACTCAGTGGGTGAAGAAGAACCCGCTGAGGGTGTGTAATCTCCCTTCTTGCCTCTTCCGTTTCCATCTGTGCTCTGGGCACAACTTTAGAGAAGCACTGTGTGATTCAAATCATGGCATCATCGTCACAGGCGAGGTTGCCAGAAGGGAGCAGCTTCACAGCACAGATGGCCTGCAAAGATTACTCAGTAAAGTCAAAGAAGTAAATAATGAATATGTTCTAAACATGAATGTTAAGAACATAAAAGACTCAGCCAAAGAATACCTCCCATGC